CCCCCCCCTCTTCTCAGTGCTCCGGGTCTCCATGCTCTACAGCCCCCACCACTGGCCTTGCTTTAACAAGGCAACAGCCATTCACATCCAACCAGCCAGAAAGAGGAGGACATTGGCAGCCTCTGTCGGGCCCCGACTAAGAAAGCAGCCAATGGGGACTGAAAAGAATCATCTCGAAAAGCAAAGGGGGAGATGAAGAAGGGGGGGGGGCTATTGTGGAGAAGTTTGTGGGTGTGGCTGATCATCAACCGCAAATACCTTTTTCTCAACTTTGAAAGGAAGTCTTTCAGAGGAATCCCACTCTGTTGTTTTTCTTCTCGATTAGCGATGACTTCACCTCCAGAGGTAGTCCTTAGACCTTTGCAAGTGGAAATGAAGGGTATGTGTTTGGAAACCCCCAAAGCCTTCTTTCTCTCCATAGAATCCATTTTCTCTTAGACGGCCACTGACCTTATTAACAATCTTGGTTTTTAGTTTTGCCTGTGCCATCAGACAAACAAACTCAACTGTCGCCTCAGCGCTGTGTTCCCGCCAATCTCTCCATGGCGTCATGAATTATACATGTGTTTCCCTGTGCTGATTCCTCCCTCAACACACCAACATGCGCACACCCCCCCCCACCCCTCAAAGGAAAGAATGCGCTTGGTTGGCAGAGCAGAGCGACAGAGGGGCTCTTAAGGCCAGGTGCAGAGAGGGGGAGGGGGAGTGTGGGCGAAAGGGGTAACCCGTGACTTCCAGACCAGCCTCTGCCAGGGCTGTGAAACGCTTCAGCGCTGGCAGACCCTGTTTCCCCTCCCTCCTTCCATCTCTCTTATCCCCGTCTTTTCTCTCTTTCTCCACAGGGAGCTTGACCATAACGACATCTCGGGGACAATAGAGGACACCAACGGGGCCTTCTCTGGATTGGACAGCCTCAACAAGCTGTAAGTGTCTCCCTCCTCCTCCTCTCCTTCTCGTCCAACCCCTCCTTTTCATCCCTCTGTCCTCCCCTGCCACTGATTCTCTCTGTGCTGTCCCAAAGACACAGAATGAGTTCTCATGTTGCGTCCAAAAGTTTCACCTCCCAATCTGAACTCACCCCTCATTGCCAGCTTAGTTTAGTTCAATTTAAGCAGCTATCTGTCCCCTCAGGACCCCACACTTTAATTGGTAGGGAAGTGTCGGCACTGACAATTATTTATACGGCCCCTCTGAGTTTTTTGACAAGCTGCGTTGATGAAAATTCCAAAGCCAATTATTTACTCGCTACTTCCTGTAAAAGTTGTGCCAGCTCTATCTGGCTTGTATATCATGAGTGCATTGTTTCACCCAGCTTTATAGCCAAACTGGGTTTTCTTTGCTGCTAACAAGGAGATAGAGTGCGAGTCATTTCTCTACATCTTTTCACCATTACTCGTCAGTGACGGCTGATAAATGTCGAGAGTTGGCACGTTGATAAATTACAGCGGACCCAGTCTCTGGCACTGAGCGGCAATCATCAACCTTCAGGATGAAAAGATGATGTCCAGCCAAGATGGTTCCCAGTGTGAGCGCGGCTGAAAGAGAAGGAACGGGAGAGAGAGAGGCAGAAAGGGGCTTTTCTTCTTCGCTGGCAGGGGGTTCGCTCCCCAATAGGCTTATTTCTATTTCTCCCCTCCATGCCTCCGCTCCTCTCGTCCCCCTGTTTCCCTGTCCCTGTTGTTAGGAACTAACAGAGGGTAAAATCGAAGGCTGAATTCAGTCATCAACATCAAACGCCTCGCGCGCCCCGCCCTCTGACCCTGCCCCCTTTGGTGCACGGCGTTGGCGGAAGCTGCCCACTGCATCCCAACGCTGGCAGAGAGAGCCATGGGAAAACCAAGAAGATGCAAAAAGGAAGGGCTGAGACATCAAAGTGTCCACCTCTCACACTGGCTTTCCGTAAAGCTGCTTGTCGCCCCATGGGAGGGAAGTGACAGATCTAAGCCAAGGAACATGATGATTAGATCTTGGATTGAATGTGTTATTCTGATAGCCTTAGTATATTCCCTAAAACTAAAAACATCCAAACTTATCGCCCCCGTGATAAGACAGCCGTTTGTTTGTGTGTACATATGGATGGGCCGGAGCACCGGGGTCTTCATTGTGAAGCAGCCAGCCGTGTCTCCTCTTCCTGTGAAGTGAAGGCTACAACAGGAGAGGAGC